AACCAGTTACCAGGGAGGGCATCTATATCGTCAACTTTGAGGTTCAGGCAAAGTATATTTGTTGCGAAACTTTAAGTTCATGATGAAGAGATTTGTAGGTCAATCTCACCAGAAGACTCCAGATGATTAGCACTGTACTGCAGCAGTGTGGCTTTAATACGTTTAGCTTGATGCAGTCCACGAGATATCCTTAAACGTTTTGGGCGAAGGCGGACTGAGCTTTCGTTTGTCATATGACGAACATCGTCAGAGCTGGAACTCATTCTTGCAAAAGCCTTAAGTTAACACTATATAAATAAGACACTTAGCGTTAATTTAAAGCTTTTTCAAGAATGAGTCCCAGCTCTGAAGATGTTCGGCACATGACGAACGGAAGCTCATCCCGTCTTTGCTCGAAACGTTGGAGAATGGTTTGTGAACTGCATCAACCTGAACGTCGTATTAAAGCCAAACTGCTACAGTACAAGGTGAAATGGCTGGAGTCTTCTGGCAAGATTAACCTACGAATCTCTTGATCATGCACTTGCATGGGAAATGAAAGTCTTCACAACAATCTTATCACAGGAGATTCTTCAAAACCCACATTTTTTCGTAGATACATGGTGCAGAGTAAGTAAAAGATGTATTTATTTGGTTTAAAGAGTCATCGTTGAGATTGATAAATTGAATTTTGGCGCAAGAAGAAGTCTGATCGGCATTATGATTAGTAGAAAAAATTCCCTATCCTAAATTATGGTGAGACAATATCAAACTACCTTTGTCGAGAGACTGCGCATCGTTAGGTTCCGAAGGAGCATGACATTCGACACCACTTTCATCAGGATAAGCTTGTTCTACAAGACGTTGTAGCTCAGGTTTACAGGAGAAATCGCCACGTATTCCAGCAAGACGCATATTGAGACACTCACAGACCAGATTGCGTATACTATCTGCTGACACATCTCCAGCCAAAAAATCATTTTCTAAGCTAGTATACGTGAAGTAATGCCGCTTTTGAGCTACAGATTCTGGAAATGGGATAGTGATGCCATCTATCCATGAATGCATATTTAAAAGATAAAGAAAAGAGCGATATAAAAATAAAGTAAAATGCAATATTAAGAAGTAAATATTCTGTATAAGGTCTTTGGTGCTAAAACGGATGATGGATGAGGTGACGAAAAAGCAAGCTTTTAAAATGTCATTGGAATGTATGTTGACAAATAAATTTTCATCGTAAAGAAACGTGAATAGATAACGCATAAATAAAGCGTTAAAGCGTCACAATTATGTGAAGCATGGAACTAGGGGCTCATATTCCATTGCAACTTCATTGCAAGCAGCAGAACAT